CATGATCCCGAAAAATATAGTGACTGTATTAAATTATTTAAGGGTGTTTAGCAAGTAAGTAACCTACTGATATCAATTTGAAGTCTATTTCAAAATACAAGATAAAGCTAATTGAACATCTCAGGATGGAAGTGTAAACTAATACCACTCAGTTAGCTGCTTTTATTGTGAAATATTTACCTACCACATGTTACACAAGTCTTGATCAGCATGAATAAATTTATTTCAATCCATTTCAACAAAATTTTAAGAACAATACACAAAACCGCTTAGTTCTTCTTATATATCAGCTTAAGTACACATTATTAGCGTAAATTTGTACAGATCGAAACGGCGAAAACCAGGAACTATCTAAATCTAGTGAGACGAGTAATACTCAAGCTTTTTCTAGTTACTATTTAGCCTTCTTACAACATTAGAATTTTCCGATGTTTTAGTTCAATTCGTGAACAGTGAGGAAAACGAAATCCGTTATGAATATTACCGATGATAAGCCTTTGGCTTTATGATTATAGAAGGTAGTAATTAGCCAAGACGTAATTAAGACTTAAGCTCATTTTTAAGCATATTGATTTAATACGACCGATCGCGGAGGTAAGCATGGTGCAAATACGGCAAGAACGAACGGCAATACTATCTCAAATAGTTTGAAGCGAGAGAAATGAACTTACCGTTAAAAGCGATGCTTGAATAAAGCCCTGCATTCATTCACAAAGCATAACATTGCCAAGAAACAAGACACTTTGTTAAAAATCACCAGGCGTACCTTTGTTAGTTCCCAGACCTCGGCCAACCACAGCTGTGGCAAGAGACTTCATGAGAGGACTGAGAAGGGTTTGTTCATGAGTTCAAAGGGAATCTTTGAAGTCCTTTAAAGGTATTTTTCTGCAGAGGTCAAACCTTAACACCATTCGGAAAAAACTTTTAACTTTTGCACGGGGAAGCTTAGACAATCCTCATATAAAAAGGAAGGGGGTGCTTGTCGGGAATTTTGAAAAGAACCGCTAAGATGCACCAAGATTCTTTTTTATGTGGCTTGAAATGTTTTTCACCCCTAAGAGGTGCCAATTATTCTAAAACAACACCTTATCTCCTGTCATATTTTTTCAGCTCAATACTCTAAAAGGTACCACAAAAGCTCCTGATGTGGACCTTTTGGGGTTGAACACCCAAAGACGTACCAAAACTGCATTTTTAACCCCTAAAAGGTACGCACGACAAGCATCCCCGATATGAGAGATCCCCACCCCCAGTTCATACTGTCTCAGCAACTTGTGAAGCGCCTGTGACCCTTGACTGTGAACAGGCTTCTGGGGCCTGTTTTTCGAAAGACCCGGAAATTTTTCGGGCCCACAAAGCCATTTTTAGCTCATCTGTATCTAGAAACGGAGAAGTGTTTACGCCTAGAACTTCTTGTATGAAGGAAACCTCTGTTCACATTAAGAATAATCATAAGGTTTGAGATTTTGTGATGACTTTTTGAGACCTTTGAGAAATGGGCCCCTGGACCTTTCTAGCTCCAGTCGGGAGCCTGTTCACAGGCTACTGTCTTAGGAGTATTTTAATTTAACAAGGATTAAGCCNTTTGAAGCGAGAGAAATGAACTTACCGTTAAAAGCGATGCTTGAATAAAGCCCTGCATTCATTCACAAAGCATAACATTGCCAAGAAACAAGACACTTTGTTAAAAATCACCAGGCGTACATTTGTTAGTTCCCAGACCTCGGCCAACCACTGCTGTGGCAAGAGACTTCATGAGAGGACTGAGAAGGGTTTGTTCATGAGTTCAAAGGAATCTTTAAAGTCCTTTAAAGGTATTTTTCTGCAGAGGTCAAACCTTAACACCAATCGGAAAAAACTTTTAACTTTTGCAAGGGGAAGCTTACACAGGATGGGGGTGCTTGTCGGGAATTTTGAAAAGAACCGCTAAGATGCACCAAGATTCTTTTTTATGTGGCTTGAAATGTTTTTCACCCCTAAGAGGTACCAATTATTCTAAAACAACACCTTATCTCCTGCCATATTTTTTCAGCTCAAAACTCTAAAAGGTACCACAAAAGCTCCCGCTGTGGACCTTTTGGGGCTGAACACCCTAAGACGTACCAAAACTGCATTTTTAACCCCTAAAAGGAACGCACGACAAGCATCCCCCATATGAGAGATCCCCACCCCCAGTTCATACTGTCTCAGCAGCTTGTGAAGCGCCTGTGACCCTTGACTGTGAACAGGCTTCTGGGGCCTGTTTTTCGAAAGACCCGGAAATTTTTCGGGCCCACAAAGCCATTTTTAGCTCATCTGTATCTAGAAACGGAGAAGTGTTTACGCCTAGAACTTCTTGTATGAAGGAAACCTCTGTTCACATTAAGAATAATCATAAGGTTTGAGATTTTGTGATGACTTTTTGAGACCTTTGAGAAATGGGCCCCTGGACCTTTCTAGCTCCAGTCGGGAGCCTGTTCACAGGCTACTGTCTTAGGAGTATTTTAATTTAACAAGGATTAAGCC